CGGAGTTCTTTTGTCACTCGCTCGGTGGATATGTCAGGCCTTCCTCACATGGCACAGCAATTCAGCAACCGAAGAGGAATTTTACCGATAACATGGGGCTGCAATAGTTATGCAAGCAACCACCTCGAATTTCTACTTGGTATGGTCCATGACTGAATGTGGTGATTTTTACATATTTTTACACCTTCACTTTCACCCTTGTTTGTGATCAGCCAAGACATCGCGTTTGCCAAAGTCCGTGTTTAACCATACCAACAATACCACCTCCGACACGAGTTCCAGCTTACAACGGGCAAATGATTTTGAAATCATGAGTACGATTTATATCAAAGCAATCCAAAATAGTCCGACGCAATCCAAAATACAGGTGGCGCAAAGTGAAACCATGTGCAAGCAAGCATCCAAGCGCTGCACTAGGTCGCTGCGGCGCATGCTCCCTTCAAAGACCTGTCTTTTTGCTATGTTCAAAGGGGGAACATAGCCACAGAAGGTACAGGCCATCAACGCCCATCAATTGGCAGGATTAGCTGACCCTAACTTCAGGATACTTCAGGACTGGCTGATCGTAACTGCAGGATTGGTTTGACAGATGGATAAACACCAAAAGCCACGTGTGCGCAATGTAGACATGAATGACTGTTGCAGTTTCTGCTTCAAAACAATTCCAACCAAGCCAGGGTGTCCAGAGTCAGTGCGGGATACTAGTAGTGCGGGTATAGGAATACTGTCTTGTTTTCACCGCAGTTTGAACTTCTGGCGATCGTCATTTCTTATTTTTCTTCGTCTTGGGCGAGATCACTGTACCGTAGGTCTCCGGGCTCCGCTTTCCACCTGTGAATTGCGGTTAAAAGATTATTCGGAAACCAAAAGGTCTTCTTCGGAAACCAAAAAAACTAGATAGGAAACCAAAACATGCAACATAGTGGTCAAAGGGGGTGACGGGCTGATGATCTCTTGTCAAGTTCAAAATGTAACACAGCGGTTAGAGAGGGTGGCGGGGTTGTGATCTCTTGTGAAGTTCAAGATGCAACATAGTGGTCAGAGGGGGTGATGGGCTGATGATCTCTTGAGAAGTTCAACATGCAACACAGCGGTTAGAGGGGGTGGCGGGGTGTTGATCTCTTGTGAAATTCAAAATGCAACATAGTGGTCAGAGGGGGTGATGGGCTGATGATCTCTTGTGAAGTTCAAGATGCGACATAGTGGCGGGGTTTTGATCTTTTGTGAAGTTCAACATGCAACATAGTGGTCAGAGGGAGTGGCGGGGTGTTGATCTCTTGTGAAATTCAAAATGCAACATAGTGGTCAGAGGGGGTGATGGGCTGATGATCTCTTGTGAAGTTCAAGATGCAACATAGTGGCGGGGCTTTGATCTTTTGTGAAGTTCAACATGCAACATAGTGGTCAGAGGGGGGCGGGGTGTTGATCTCTTGTGAAATTCAAAATGCAACATAGTGGTCAGAGGGGGTGATGGGCTGATGATCTCTTGTGAAGTTCAAGATGCAACATAGTGGCGGGGCTTTGATCTTTTGTGAAGTTCAACATGCAACATAGTGGTCAGAGGGGGTGGCGGGGTGTTGATCTCTTGTGAAATTCAAAATGCAACATAGTGGTCAGAGGGGGTGATGGGCTGATGATCTCTTGTGAAGTTCAAGATGCAACATAGTGGCGGGGCTTTGATCTTTTGTGAAGTTCAACATGCAACATAGTGGTCAGAGGGGGTGGCGGGGTGTTGATCTCTTGTGAAGTTCAAGATGCAACATATTGGTCAGAGGGGGTGGGTTCAAGTGGCAGAGTGTGCTAGGTTAGTGCGAGAATTGCAGTCTGTCGATCTATCCCTCCATCCATACATCCATCCATCCATCCATCTATATTATATATATTATATATATTATAGTGTTATATATGCACAGCATATAATATTTATAACGTGGCGTCAAAGCTGCTGAGTCTCACACAGGCCGCGCCCAGCGTCGAAGCTGTTCCCAAGGCTCCGCCGCAAAAAGCTGTGGCCTGGGAGCTTGGGACAGCACAGGTAACCACTTGCCAGCAGAGAGCAAATCAACACAATGAAAATGCAAAAAAAAACCAGGTACAGCAAGATACATACAACTCGTACAACAAGATACTACATGACTAATTCAGACTACTGTACTACCGTAGAATAGCACATGTCAGAAAGGCAAAGGGCGTAGTAAGCGTCTATCCGCCAACCAAAAATGATTTCATTAGGCTCGAACCAATTAGCGCCCCCAGCATGTGCCACAGTGCGCCGCAGCTCCTGGAGTCCGCAATGAGCAAACGCAAGAAGAAAATGAAGAAACATATTGCATTGACGACTACTTCATCTCTTGTAACTGTGTTTCAGAACTGCATTTTCACCGCATCTCCTCTTCATAGCCCCAGAGCGTGCCAAAAAGCATTGGTGGGCCCAAAGGATGTTTGCTCTTACGCAACCAGGCCAGGAAGGATTCTGCGGACTCATGCTCAAGCCTAAAGGTGCAAAGCTGAGAATAACAGCGTGACTTAACTGTTTGGTACTTTCCAACAATTGTCAGCCATGTGGAAAAATGCGAAAGCAACAGCAACCAAATGCAATAAAACAAGAGGAAGTGCCACAACCGGGCACCACACCCAAACTTTCAACAGCCTCCATCCACATTGCTAAACTTTGCCAAACTTTGCAAAAGAAATCCAAGTATCAGCTGCCACTCCAGGTTCTCTTTGCCCGACTCCACCAGCCGCGCGAAGCCACGCTGCGGATCTCTGCGCAGCGCATCTGGCCCCAAGCCTACCACGTGAAGCCAAACGGGCTCACGAAAAGGACCTGAACTGCAAGGGTATTGCGCAACGCAGAAACACTACGAAACACTCACAGCCGTTGAGCAAAGCAGACTATGGCAAACTGCTGGGACTGCTGATTGCCAGAGCTTCTTGGCCACCAAAACCAAATCAACAACTCAGATAGCTAGTCTCAATAAAGATGTACTACTTTGGCCAAGCTGCTGAGGGTGGTGATGATGGCAGCTTTCCTTGCTGGCAAGCAGCAACACTCGAATTCAAGCTCTGGGAGCTATTGAAGGCCAAATGCTTGAAAAAAACCACTTGGAAAGGAATATCAAAACTCATCAGGTATGTTCCGATTCGTCACCTGATGTCACCTGTGATCCGGGAAACGGATTCGCGTCCACTGTCTCTGCAAAGCGCTAAAAAATGATAATCTCAAATACTGTATAATCTCACGTCATATCGTCATCTCCATGCCCATTTCAAATTGAATGCTCATGCTCTGGGCCTTTGACAGATTTGAGGGATGACCGGGACGACCTATCGTATTTCACCAAGCATCACTACATCCTCTGGCATCTCCATACTTGTGAGCAGAAAATGCTTGGAGGCGCCACCAAGACTCACCGACGACTGGGTCTCACCTGAACAAGAAAGGGCCGAAAGGCCGAAAGGGGCGCAGCAGACAGTCGTGACAGTAGAAACACTGCTACCGCCATGGTTTCTGAGAAATTCTGCGTTGGTTTTGATATTATACTGTAACTATTTATAACTAGGCAATATTAGGCAGGTTTAAACGGAACCCCCGACTCCAGATGTATGAAACATGCAAACATATGCAAACCCTGCTGGATCGGAGACTCTGTAAAGGCATGATATGGATTCACAATGATTCACATGGCATGATAGGGAGCTCTGGCATTGCAATGAAGCCATGTTACATGCCAGCAACTCCTGGAGCAGCTAGACTAGTGACTAGTGACTAGTGACTAGTGACTAGTGACTAGTGACTAGTCTATCTAATTAGATGTCTTGTCTAGATCAGATGATGATTTGAATATGTTGAATTGATTTTGCAACAGATTTGACTGATTTGAGTCACTGGATGTCACTCTCAGGTGTTGACTGGTCTGGTCTCAGGTGGCCAAGCCGCTGAATCCCCAGAGGAAATCGAGGAAATCGTGAATTTCTTCAATTCCACGATCGTAAGCACTGCGCGCCCAACGGGGTGGCGGAAGACCTACGGCTGAATTCTGGTCCAGTGTTGGAAGCAAAATGAGAAAGGCGAGCAGCAGGCAACTGGTCAACTTAGATCAACCTAGAAAACAAGTTTTTTGAGTCTATGCAGTGAAAGAAATTGGAAACGGCCAGCAAGCCCTGCTTAGAGCTATGTTGTGCAATGTGATGCAATGTGATGTAATGTGATGTAATGTATGTGTTTTGAAGTTTTGATGATGCATTTTCAAGAACCTGAATGAATGACTGCTTTATACTGCTATGTGCTTTGGCTCACACCTGGAAGCGATGGGACATCTACGCTTGGAGGCGTTGACGTGGAAAGCAATGCTGACAAGTCATGAGCCTCCTGCCACAACTGCCAAGTCAAAGTCAAAGAGCTCTCTATGCCTCGCCTTGAGTTGCCTAAGCCTTTAGGGGCCTTTAGGAGTTGACATTCCGTTCCGTGGATTCATTTTAGGACAGCTACTGCTCTGAAATAGGGTTTCTTGATGTTTCTTGTACATTGCACTTAGCACTGAAGCATGTCGCCTCCATTCGGCTCCTGTGTGAAATGATGATTGGATCGTGGCAACTTGGAGAGCGCCTGGACAAGGTGTTCATTCGACTTGACCAGGGGTGAGGGACGAAAGCAAGCTTGGCAGGGAGCTTGGCATGAAAACACAATGATGCCGAGGATGCGGATGCTGCCGGATTTGCTGCCGGTGGTGACATGCCAGGTGTCCCCGGTGGGATTGAGCCACGGCCAAAGTGCTTGTGAAACACCCAGCCGCGGGGAGGAGTCATGCGATGCTGTGGTTGTCGCTGTGATCTATCCAAACATATAAGTTTCATTCCAGCTATGCGCTCTGAGTCAACTTTGACAGATCTCACAGTTTGTCATTGCATTTTGATGTGCATGCTGCATCACTAAAGCTGCACCTCCAAGTTCGTCCGCGCGAGTGCCATTGCATCCAAACCGGCCATACCATGGGGCATTTCTCTTCCCTCCACAACCCATCCACCAAAGTCCCCAGGCAACTTCTGGACTTCCGCCCAAAGTGAAGGCAACCGCCCCACCAATCGCAACAGCTGGACGTCTGGCAGTTGCGAGATAGGTCCAGCCTTGCCGCGCTGTTCCATTCCCAATTGGACCAAGGCAAGTAACATCAAGTAATAACTGTTTCCAAATGTTTCCAAGGATGTCTCATAGTCTCATTGCGTCCTCAAGCAAAGATGGTGCCAACATGTGCCAGTTCGATGCCCGCGCCTCAATGAATTGCAGCAATTCTGGTGGGAAGCCATCCTTGCTTCGTGCTGATGATTGCTGATGTGTATCACGAACTGTTCCATTTCAAGCTACAGATAGTTTTCTGATGTTTTCTGAGCCGCAAAACCATCGAAATCCATCAAGCCTTCCCCTATCTTCCCCTTGATGCCTTACCAAATGTCCACTTGCTCCGGCTGCCTCAACGCCTGGGTCACAGCATACCCACGAAGCACGGCAGCCACAACTTCAGAGGCTGCTGCCTGATCGGGTTGCAAGACGTCACAAGCAAAAGAATACTGAATGAAATTATGAAGAGGTATTTCAGACAAGCAAAATGATCCCATGCAGTACTTGACAACTGAAATAACTGAAATAGTGTTAGATCTGTTAGATCATTCGCAATATGCAAAGCATGCGCTGACTCACTTAGTTGCTGACTCGGCCAATGTTCGCAAAGCATGGAAGGCATGGAAAGATTACATAGATTGCCCGTTATTTTATTATGGGCGGGCTATCCATATTTCATCATATTTCCATAGATTGCCCACGTGGCCTCGCCATTGCCCAGGACAAGACCACAACGAGCTGTGCCATCGCTTCGCACTCCAAAGAGCTGCTCGTCCTGCAAGAGACGTCGAAACCTTGGGACTCACAACATCATCAACATCTCAAACCCCAATGGCACTCAGCAGGCGACGCAACTGTCAGCTCGTGCCAGATCGAGCGTGTCGTTTGAAGAAAACATAAGAAAACCACCATGAAAAACAATCAAAAGATGTCAAAAGATGTCCAAAAGATGTCCAAAAGGGTCAAACACATAAAAAAAAAAAAGTCTGTAATGTCTGCCAAGTGGCAGTGAGCAAAGGGCATTGCCACGTTCTGAGCCTGAAAGAGTCGCAAAAGCTTCAGCCAGCGCCAGGCGCTCCTCTGGCGAATTTGGGGAAACCATGGGAAACCAACATGCTCAGTATACTTATACTGATCAGTACTGAAACATACTGAAACCATCTGAAACCACTGGTCCGGCGTTGTGCCCAGGCTGCCCCAGGCTGCCCCAAGCTGCCCCAAGCTGCCCCAGGCTGCTTGTCCTCTGCCTCTAAAGGATGTTTCGGCCAAGCGCTTGAGACTTTCACCTGGCAGTTGTTCAATGCTTAGGCAGGCATCTAATAAGTCTATATAATTCTAATATGATTCTAATAATTTAATTTAATATTATCATATATTGATAATTATATGTATATATATATATTATATTATATATATATTATACCAGGTATATATATATTATATTATATTATCTAATTCAGTGTGATTGGATCGAGTTTCACGTCCCACCTGCTGTTCAACAGGGGCCCAGCTGCCAGAACTCGACCCGACGTCTGCAGTGATAGCGCCTGGTAGGCAGGCAGCAAGAACCTGCCAGACAAAGAATGTACACACCAAAAGAGTGGACTTTTTTGAGACCTGATTCGATCTGATCTTCTATGATCTTCTACGATCTTCTGTTTGTTCCAGCACTTGGATTTGTTTTCGTCTCTGAACTTCCGACACCCTCAGGAAAGTTTTCCTGCAAGAATTTGTTTGTACTTGTTGCTAGAAGTGAATGTGTTGCTTCAACTTTATTGAAGCAATAATCCAAGTCGTCCTGGCACTACCGCACCGTCTTCCCGCAAAGCCTCTGACTTAATCTGCTGAACTGATATGCTCAGTGCTGAGGCAAGTCGAGGGCGAGCAGCCAGCATGGCTCGTCTATGCCATGCCCCGTGGAATTCACGGGAATCTGATCCTGATCCGAAGAGTAAAACCTGGGGTCGGCTCGGGGTCGGCCGACCTGTTTCTTGTATGTGCAGCATCTATTTACTGTTCTTGGTATTGGAACTGACCCCAATCAACCAATAATTTTGCTCGGAATTTCCGGGCCAGGCCATTTCTAGGAAAAAGGATTTGTATCCAGTACCGTTGGCAAGGACTTCCAAGATTGCGGAAGTGTGTAGCTCTTGATTCAACCATGACATTGCAGGATCCTGATGAAGATCTCCTCGTTGTGCACGAATCAAAGCGACAAGCACAAAGGAATCATAAGGATTGGATTTAGATGTTGACCAAGTGTGGCTATAAGGCAGGCAAAATGCATCAAAATGTGATGTTTGCTCTTCTGCTCTTCAAACAACCACAACTGTGGAGATGTTGTGTTGCTACTGATCGCTTCTTGTACACAGTGCACGAACCACTGGAATGCCAGGATTCGGCGGGGCTCTTGAACAAATGTTCACGATGGTCGAAGTGTATCCTGCATCATGCAATCGCATGCAATCGCTATTTCATGAGCACAGGACACCTTTTCTTTGTCAGCTCGACCGACAAAGACGTACATCTCCGCAATCATCTGCAAAAGCTCCTGTGTGTTTCTCCATTTCTTTTTCATTTAGATCCCATCAGCGAATGCGAAAACAATCGAAAACATGCGAAGCTGATGGCAAAAAGGCCAAACAGCCGCCTTGGGTTTGAAGCTGTACTCTTCGAAGTCACTGACCTACGACCAACCCTTTGACGGGAACCACTGACAGGATCTTCAAAAATCTTCAAGAACAAGGTCTTTGAAAGTCTTCAGAAATGGCTCGACAGAGTGTCCCAAATCTTTTTGACAGTTTCGATCCGCAGATCAGTTTTGGATTGCGATATATTGCGATGTCACGATGTCCAAATGCGTCCAGTGTCGTGTCGCGACTGTGGTGCTTGCAGCGCTTGCAACGCGCCTGGCCCTTCTGCGGAGCCTTCAGCTCCAGGCAGCGAGGGCCGACCAAACGATCCAGGCAGCTGTTGAGGCAGTTGTGCAGCATCTGACGTTTCTAAGGCATCTCTGACGTTTCTAAGGCATCTGACTTGAACACAACACGGTTGTCAGTGACTTGGATCAGTTGGAGACCTACCGATGCTTTTGCACAATTCTGTTCCATTTGAGGCTTCATTATCAGTTGTTTGAATTGCTTGAGAACTGTGATCAGTTTCCATGTAATTGGGGTGCTCTAGCACTGGATATTTCCGAATGAAAATGAGAAGTAATCTCCATTCTTCAACTTGAAAAGTATTGATGCGAGCAACTTGCAAGCTCTGACCTCTAGAATCTGTGCTTACCGCATTAACATCTAACAACAACGCAACAGTGCTCTCCATGTGCTCTCCTGCTGTAGGACATTCAGCTTGCTGATAATCACCGTGGGCGCCTCCCAAAGACTTCATGGCGCTGTCTTGCGACTGCATTCGTCCAACTTTGACTGTAGATTCTGTAGATATTGTAGGTTGCAGGAAAGCTGCAGGCAATCTAAATCGGCCTCCCGACTAATGCTCCATAAAGTGCTGATCGTTCTATGGCCCATCTGCATGTACTGCTTGCAGTGAGCCTGAAGCATTTCTCTAATGCCGTTCTTCCTTTCATTCCTCCAGCATTCCTTTACTTTCCGGCTGTCTGCCTCCTTGTTTGGAGTTTTCCAAAGACCGCGACTCAAAAGGGGGCTAAAGTATCTCAGAGGCTCACCTTTGGATCTGCTCGACTACGGGCATAGAGATCGGCACCTTGCAGGTTGAAACTGGAATCAAAATCCATTACATACAAGATCCTACAAGACACGAATTTCTGCACGTCAAGACAGCTCAATACATGTGTTTTTTAGTTTGTTGTTCGATGTTTTGGATCGAGACCTTCTCCGGTTTGCTCATCTTCTGCCACGCTGGAGGCTGCAGGACGTTGAAGTTCAGCCTGGCCAACTCTTGAGTCTCGAGAGTCTCATCATGTCTCATCATGTCTTGTCAAAGTTATCTGGGGCAACTTGGTAACCTTGACATTGATAATATTGAACTAAATGAAGGTGGAGATATGGTGGAGATATGTGCAGTAGAATTCTTCAAAACAACTCCAGCATTTGGTGAACATCCCGGATGCGCAGTGAGAAGGTGCCATGCCTCGGCGCATGAAGTGAGATGAAATAACGTACTCAGACGTACTCAGCATTCTTTCCATTCCTAGAAGCTCACTAGAAATGTTAAAATACACAAGAATCACTGGCAAAATTCCATAGTGAAGAACAACAATTGCACAAATCTTGTGAAAATGCTTGCTCCTCCAGTATCCAGTACCTGCGCATACCCACATGCCTGCTTTCCTTCTTTCATGAGACGACGAATCTCGATGAGTGTGTCCATGCCCTCACTGACAACACAAGTCTGGGTGCGATACAGTTGGACTACAGTGACTCTAGATGACTCTCGATGACTCTAGATGACTCTAGTATGTCTAGGTGCCTTGTCATCAGTTCACAAAGAGTTTGGTCTGCTTTGGGCCGTTTCAGGTCCAGTAAGCCATGAGTCACACCTCTTCAAGTTGCATGGTGGCATCGTTCATCCTGCGAAGGGTAGCGCGTGCAATCGCAACAATCTCACCCTCCTCCTGCGTGCTTCAAATTGCCTCAAAATGATATTGTGCAATATATATATATATATATTCATCAATATATTAATAAAATTTAATATATATATATATAACTTAATGTACAGAAAATTGCGCTACCAGTCACTACCGGGTTACCGGGTCCATGAGTCCATGGTAGTTTGGTTGTTTTGAACTTCACAGCAACACCTCGAAGCCGCTGAACGCACAGCGCCACACAGGCCACACTCTTTTCTCAATTCAATTGCCGCGCCTTGCAGAAACTGTCAGCTGTAAACTGGTCAAGAGTTGCAACGGTTGATCATGAAAGTGTAGACAAAGCAAATTAAAGAATGATCTCAAGAGTCGAATGATGCAGGAGGGCCAGCAAGCGCAAACCAATACCAGACATGCATTGCATGGCATAGCATGTATGTACTGCATTGCATTCAATGAATAGAATCTAGTTGATCTTAGTTGCATTGCCTTGTGTTGCATGGATTGTATGTGTGTATATGTACAATGTACATATAGATGTGTACATATATATATATGTATACATATATACACACATGAACGCATACATACATATATATATATATATGTACGTACATATATATATATGTATATGTACGTACATATACATATGTGCATACATGCATATATATATATATGCATACATATATACATGTATGCATATATACATATATATATACATATATATATACATATAAATGTATATATAAATACATATAAATGCATATATATATAAGTATATATATATATACATATATGTATGTATATATACATTATGTGTCTATGTGTATATATGTATATATATATGTATATATATATACATTATATGTCTATACGTGTATATATATATATGTGTGTATATATATATATATGTATATATAAATATGTATATAATATATACATTATATGTCTATATGTGTAAATATATACATATGTATATATATATATATGTATATATATATATATGTATATATATGTATATATATACATGTATATATGTATATATATATTTATATATTTATATATGCGTAAATGTATATGTGTATATGTATGTATATATATATACTATATATATACATATACATATATATATATCAATACATATATACATATATACATGTATACATGTACACATATATACATATATACATATAGACATATAGACATATAGACATATAGACATATAGACATATAGACATATAGACATATAGACATATATATATATACATATGTACATATATGCGTATATACATATGTACATTATATACATATGTACATATATATATACATATATGTGCATGTATACAAACATATGTACATATGTACATATTTACATATGTACATATGTACATATATATATATATAACATATGTGCAACACATGTATATATATATATATATATGTGTACATCTGTACACGTGTACATTTATATAACATACATTATACATACATACATGCATGCATGCATACATACATAGATAGATACATAGATACATAGATACATAGATACATAGATACATAGATACATAGATACATAGATACATAGATACATAGATAGATAGAGATAGATAGAGATAGATAGATAGATAGAGATAGATAGAGATAGATAGAGATAGATAGAGATAGATAGAGATAGATATAGATAGAGATAGATAGAGATAGATAGAGATAGATAGATAGATAGATAGAGATAGATAGATAGAGATAGATAGATACAGATAGATAGATACAGATAGATAGATACAGATAGATAGATACAGATAGATAGATACAGATAGATAGATACAGATAGATAGATACAGATAGATAGATACAGATAGATAGATACAGATAGATAGATACAGATAGATAGATACAGATAGATAGATAGATAGATACAGATAGATAGATACAGATAGATAGATACAGATAGATAGATACAGATAGATAGATAGATAGATACAGATAGATAGATACAGATAGGTAGATACAGATAGATAGATACCAATAGATAGATACAGATAGATAGATACAGATAGATAGATACAGATAGATAGGTACAGATAGATAGATACAGATAGATAGATACAGATAGATAGATACAGATAGATAGATACAGATAGATAGATACAGATAGATAGATACAGATAAATAGAAAGAGAGATAGATAGATAGAGATAGATAGATAGAGATAGATAGATAGATAGATAGACAGATAGATAGAGACAGATAGATAGAGACAGATAGATAGAGACAGATAGATAGAGACAGATAGATAGAGACAGATAGATAGAGACAGATAGATAGAGACAGATAGATAGAGACAGACAGACAGACAGACAGACGTTGGTTATGTCTCAGACATGTATAGATATATATATATAATTTACATACACATACATAGAGGGCATCGACGTCAGTGTACAGTATACGAACGTAACTGATGTATGTATATGCATACATGCAAGGCAATGAAGACATATTTCATCATGTTTATGGATTCGAGTGTGCTTTTCAGACCTCAATAGATTCATTTATAAGAAGCCTTGTGTAGGATGGGTCCAAACATTCATCATCAACCATGGGCGGTTCAGCAATCAAAACTGTGACGGCCACATTGACGCGTCTCTTATCTTCTCACGGAAGATTGTGCCACTCAGACTCACAATAAGCTACAAAAGCTGCGATGTGAGGAAAAAAAAATCGGCTCTGCCACGGAAGACAACTCAAGGCAAATCGCGGAAGCCCCTTGCGCGTTGTCGTTTCGCCCAAAACTTGTTTCAGAGCCTTTCTAGGATTGTAGCGTAGACTACTTGGCCTGCTGCACGTTGAAAGGTGCCCAGATGGTGGAGTGGGACTCACAGCCAAGTTGTGCAAAACTCTGAAACACAGACCTCTAATCTTGATGTCATCAGTCCTGGTTGAGAATGAATAGAGGTGACTGCTTCCATACGAATGTGGGAAAGAAACTGACTTGGCAGATCGCTCGCCCACCGTCCCACTCACAAGCAAGCAGGAGAAATCAACGAGGGATTGTCCGAGCAAGGCGGCAAACATGAAGCAATGACACTTAAAACCACTAGCCTAGCAAAAAGACTGCTTCCCCTTCCAGATTGGCATGACACTGCGTTTTGAACACTTCAGACGGGTGTGCCGGTTTCATGTTGCCAGCTCACGCAGAAGGAGACCTGCATATACACACCAATAAGCAAATACTGTTTGGTTTGGTGATTGTGGTGCTACATGCTTTACGTAGACATGCAAGGCTCCAGTGGTAGCTTTGGAGTTTTGCTTCTTCCGCATGCACTCGTGCTGAATGAGATCAGAAACAAAGTCCAACGAAGCAAAATGCTAACCTACTCGTTTTGCAAACGCCAGTACTTGGTAAAGAATGCGGTGGACTCCTAATGCTCACTCACACAGCACAGAATGCCTTCATCGCAAACTCCTTTTGTGGCAAAATTTCCGACTTTTTGTCAGGGAGAACCCGCTGCCAGCAATTTTGGGATCTAGCAGTCTCTTATGCACGTTGCATGACAAATGACCCGAGGTCGAGGCTCGTCTGTTCAGTTTAACTCCCTCGTCCCCGATATCTTGGTACTGCATCTTGAGAAAGTACCAGCAATGAAATGATGATGAAAGTACCATGTATGATTCTGTATGATGATGTCCAAATCAATGGCATTCGATGGCATTCGATGGCATTCGATGGCATTCGATGGCATGCAACAGATGATAACAAATGTCAGCACTGCTTCGCTGCAGCTAAGCAGAGCCCTTTCGGACCGCCGCTGGCTGTGAATGTCACCGCTGGACCCAAAAACACCGCTGAAGCAACCTGAACAGGTTCAGCTGACGTATGGCAACCAGCAAGAAACCTAGTTTTGGAGTGAAGAGCTTACAAGTTGCGTATGCTGTTTGGCGTTTGGAGTCCATTTATGCCATTTATACCTCGTCAATGCTGGTGACTAATGGCATCTAATGGCCAAAATACAAACGCACAACTTCAGCCTGGGATTCTGCAAACTTCACGGCCTCGGCTTTCCCCAGTGATGCTCTGATGGAAATGGCTGAGATGGACAAGGGAAAAATACTTCGTGAATCTTCGTGATCTGAGGTTGGAACACAAACCACAATGAAAGTCACTCACTTCAAGTGTCATGTCATGGACCAGGTGTGAAGCTGAGAAAACGACATGATACATCTGACATAGCATTTTATTTATTTTATATGATATTATATCATATCATCTTGTACTATATTGTATTTTATTGTATTGTATTGTATTATATTATATATTATATTATATATACGGATCATTACATATCATTGTACATGCTATAGATGTTACATTTCTTTATATGTATTCACATACAAATATCATCTCAGAGAGCAAACAAGCCAAGCTCCATGCTTCTACGCTTGGGTTGCGGCGATGGTGCAAGGGCTCTGGAAAGCAAATGATGCATGGCACGTTCGGGGAGGTTGTCCTGACCAATCGACCATGCCCATGTTTTATCCAAAGAGCCACAAACACTTACAGTATGTACTCAGTCGGTCTATGTCGCAATACAAGTACCTAGCGGAAGAAAAAGCGTTGCAATCAAGGTGGTCCAAAGATCTTTGCTTCAAAAGATTTGTGCAGATTCCTCAGTCCACTTATCCAACCTCGGGCCGCACTCCCATTTGTCATCAAATTTCAAAAAGCATCCCCACCTCTCCAGTAAGAAATACATTGAAATACGTATTTAATCTTCTTCATACTTATTTTATCTTATGTTATACTGTTCTCATCAAAGCCTTTGTATCCCTCTGTGTGACAAAGTCCGTGGCCTCCAGACCATGTGATGCCAGAGACTGCACCGGCAAGAAACGAAGGCTCAAACAAATGGATTTGAAAGAATACTTCACAAACTTCACGGATTTCACGGGGAATCAAGGTTTCTCAGCTATGGAGGCACAATGAGGCACAATCATTTCTGTAGTTTTTGTGGGAATGGTGAAAAAAAGAGGCATCCTTAACGCAGCTTTGGAAGAGCAGGTTCCAGGGTTCCTTTGTTCCAGGGTGCCGTTTCAGTTTTCAGGGCCGACAAAAAGCGGCGCACCAGTCCCAGACCCAGAGATTGAAACCCAGTCACTGCTATTGGGAATTAGGATTCGTAGGATTCATAGGGAATCAATTTCTGTTTGGGAAATTTTGGGAATGGATGATAATAGATATGTTGATCCCGTTTGGGCTGAGACCTCAGTGAACGTTGCAATTTACATAGTATACGAATGCCTAGCCTCGAGCTTGCTCCTTAGATCACTGCCTGCAACGTCAGCCAAGAGGCTCTGACTAGGAGGATCCTTTAATTGCATGCCTTTCTATCAGGACAATCACAACACTTACAAGTACCCCCTTTTGATGTATCCATGTTCAATCTTTGGTAATCCACAAGACTAAAGGATGAAACAAACTACCTATCCGATCCAAGGTTGGGGATGTATCTAACTATCTTTTCCGATGTAGCAGAACTTGAAGCGTCATGTTTGTTACCAAATCATGTCATCTGCCCTTTCAAGCTACTGCGGTCAAATTCCATGAACAGTTTGCATATCGAGTTGTTGGACTCGGTTCCAAGCCTGGGCTTCCAGGTTGTTGAGAGCCTGGTCCGTGTACCACAGATGGCAGTGTACCCCTGATACCTCCTGTGTATCTAATGTATCTACATCTGTGTACCAGTGTACCAGTGTACCATGTGCAACCTCCTTGCGCTTGATCCGGTCTTGGGACGTCTACAGGTCCACGGTGGTCCACCGTCCACCCCTTTGTCCACCGAGGATTTGGCTTGAACCTCTCGAACCCGGAGCCGTTGACTCTGTCGACAGTTTTGCTGTGGCCTCAGTGACTAGGAAGCTCGCAGGGCACTCAAAAGAGAGAACCTGTAAAGAGACAGGATACTTTTGCCGTATGTATTAGAATTAGGAAGAATGCATTGTAACATATTGTAACTACTCACATATTGTTCAGATTCCACCACATTCCACCGATCACCAATATCACCAATTGATACCACCACCCGGACATAACTGCTCTAGCAAAATCAATTAGATTAGATGATTAGATTGGATTAAAGTGGACTCGTACACCGATTTGCCCTCACAAAAGAGTGAATAAACTGTTTGGGAAAGGCAATACTCTTGGATTGATTGCGGTTTCTTCAAGCAGTGCTTCCATGCAATTCCATCCACTGTTCGGCTGAGACGCAGGCTGAACTCCTGACCTTTGTCAGTTGCTCCACGACCGGCACGTCAGACTGCAAAAATGGATGCAATGACTCAAAAACACAAAAAGTGATAAAAAGTGAATACAGTTCGGCATAGTTCGGCATAGTTCGGCATAGTTCGGCATAGTTCGGCGGAAATGGTGAGGAAGCCGGAACTTTCAGACTGCGGAAGTGACTGATGTGACTGGACAAATTGGACAAGCCAAGGCCAAGTCAAGTACAGTTTGCCACTTGCCACCAACAAAACCGCGTGGACAGTCAAAGAGAAAAGATGAAATCTGCAAGAATTTGAAGATTACAAAGATTAAGGTTAAAAGATGTTAAAAGATATTAAAAGATGTTAAAAGGTTGTTTGCATTTATTTTCTGATTTGCTGTCTGATGTTGGAACAGGTTGGAACTGCTTGGAACGTCGGTCCAACGTCGGCTGTCTTTGCCTCATCATCTGACAGGTCCGGATGGGCGTTGTGCTGGCCCCAGGCCGCTTTTGCGCCGAAGGCAAGCATCTGATCCGGTGTGGGCAAATGAGGAAGTTCAGATGGCTCATTCCAAAATGGGATCTGGATAAATGTACTGTATCTATCTGTATCTTATATATAATATAAATTATAAAGCATTCCGAAACAGGCGTCGTAAATGATAGAAAATGGAAATAAATTTAGAGACAATAAGGGATAAGATATGAGAAAATGACAGCAACGATTTGAAGAATGGGGAAACAGCAGCGCATATGGGAGACATGGGATCAAAGTGGAGAGGGACCAAAGAGTAGGAGTATAGGAAGAGCAAAGACAAGGGGGTTCAGCCACAATCAGGAGATCTGCTGAAAAGATCAAAATTCTGCATAGAAATATTATATTAGAAATAAAGCAGCAGAACGGCAAGCTGATGAACAGTAAGCTGCGTTTTTCGAACAAATATGCGCACAAACCTGGAAGTTTCACAATGTTTGAAACTGTTTGTGCCAGCATTCCAGTCAGAAGAACTATTTGAAGCTAAAGACAAATCCGTGTTTCAGACTGTCGATTCCAAAGTTAGAAGAAATCGTGTACCTCAGAAGTGTTCTAACGTTGTTTCATGTTGTTTCTCTATGTGTCAACACATGATTCTGCATGATTCTGGTCATATTTCGACGGAAAGGCATGGCCAAATAGCGCCACACCTTGGGTGCAAAAGGGCAACATTCTGTATCATCACCTGGCACACAAAGTTCACACAGAGTTCCACACAGAGTTCTTACAGACTTACAGAGTTCTTAAACCGTTTAGTTAAAGTTTAGTTACATACGCAAGGTCGATGCAAGGTCCATGCAAGGTCCAGTGTGGCTCACTGATCTTGAGGTCTGAAGGCTTCTGAGCCACGAAGTGTCATGTGGTGTACAGCAAAACAGTTTCATATGCAACTAGTGCAGTCTTTTTGCAATCTTTTCATGGCTGAAGCTCATTGCAGAGCAATTCAAACTTCTTATATATCCTACTCAAACACGACCCCAAACTTCAGGCAGCAGAAAGATGACAAACGTTTCGTCCAGTTTGACCATGTCATCAGGTATAAGACTCGTCAGGGCAGCCCAAATTTTCAGCCCGCCACTCACGTCCACATGCCTGGAGGTCTGTGCCGCAGCACTCATAGCTTCACGACTGTGAAAAAGATGTCGAAAGACTTCGGAAGTGACGAGGAAATAGAGCGAAAACGGAAAAGGTCAACGTAAGGTCAGGGAAGGGGCGAAACATTTTGAAACCGGACGGAAAATCGGCAAAGATCATGACATGTCATGAAAACACAAGGAGGCTCCAAGCGGGCATCATGCTCAAGATTGGGGATCAAATAGAAAAGAACAGATCAAACTGAGGACAACTACCCCGGAGACTCCGCCACTGGGGCAGTTGACGACGCAATTCTTGAAAGGGCATGACAAAGAGGGAGGGAAAGGACCAAAAGAAAGGAAAAGGAATGGAAGCCACACCAGGTATGGGAGGGAACGACATGCGCGTGTTTGAAGCAAAGTAAAGAGCTTCTAGATTCTGGAGATTGGATTGGCATTGGATTGGCATTGGATTGGCAGTCTGAGTGTTAATGGATGTTAATGGCAGAGGCCGAAGATCCGGGGACCCTGTGTCTTGGTTGCGGACGCAGCAGTGCCACAGAGCAACTGCCTCAAAGCTCAGTCGGTTGACAAACGTACAAAATAATACAAACTATAATACAAAATATAGAAAGATGATTTGAGATTATTGACATTTACAAACGATGTTCAAGAAGTTCGGAAAACATCTTTTCATAGCAATGTGATAGCACATTGGCCCAACGCTCAGCAGGAGACGCCAGATGGCTGAGAAGGACGACTGGTCATCTTCACAAGCCTTGCAGCCTTGCGCGGTTGGGATCGGTGAAACGGGAAGATGAGAAAAAGATAGAAAAAACATCTCAGCAGATTAGTCACGGTCAGAGAGTTGACAGCACTGTGACAGCTCGTACCACACATGCATACACTGCATACACATGCCACACATATCACACATCAAGAGCACAGTATGGCTACGATTTCATGTGACGCGCACAGTGTGAAATGTGACACCACGCCTTCTCGACACTTTTGCACTTAACGACTACTGTCGCACTCTGTCAAGCCAACTCTGCGGTCAAGTCATCTGGTAAGCCTCCTTGTGATTTTCTAGCGTTGCTACAGATTTCCAGATGTGCAAAACACACAACTTGAGAAAGACCTTTAAAGACTAAGACGTCTCCGGACGTCTCCGGTCCATCTTTCCCATTATGTCCTCTGAGGGTCTAAGATGCTCTAAGTTATCCAAGTTGTTTCAAGGTTTTGTAACAACAAACGATTTCCTTTGAGTTCATCGCATTTCAAGGTGCACGTAGCCCTTGCCTTTTCGATTTGTGCCATGCAAATGGATCTGAAAGCACAAAGCATGTGTTGCACTGTTGCACTGCAGAGGGCGGGAGAGGCACAAGTTGTTCAGGAACTTGAGAAATTCGTCCGGATTCTCTGTGGCAAAGCTCTTGAGCGCCTTCTTGTGTGCCTCAGCACCGAAAAGAGCCACAGGTAACAAGCTTCAGAGCTTTACTGAATGATATTTCTTGACCCCTGCTCTGCAATGGCAATGACCTTGGCATTTGCTTTTGCCAAACCTCAACCTCTGACCTCCTGCATATTTGCCATATGATTTGCCCTTTAAGGAGTTCTCATGCTCTGCAACTAATCAGTGACTGTAGGTTCCATGCCTCAAGAGGCAGCATGCGCTCAAAAAGCTCCTCATCAGAATTCACAGGTGCACAACGCTGTGCACAGTGCATCAGAGCGCTGTGCGTGACGTGATTTCGCGTCTCACAGCTCCAGGTGTCCATTGACCTACAATATCCGACAAGTTGTGCACAAGTCACAAGTATACCTAAGTATTCATGATTATTCGTGCAGTGCTCCAGTCCATGATAGGTATGCGAAGCTGGTACTTCAGCTGCATCCTGATGTCATAGAACCTCGCTGATGCAAGCTTTAGACCCAATTGTCGGGAAATCTTCCTCCAACTTGGCATGCCTGAAAATGAGGAAAAAGAGTATACACAAACATCCCAAAACCTACTCGCGGCCTTAACCATCCTTCATCTGAAAAGTAAAAAACATGTTTAAAGATGTTAAAATGCAAAAGACCTGGGCAGACAAACGATTGCTTTGTCTTTTCCACTGCAGTGAAGACTCTAATGCACCTCAAGCAGGTCAGCTCAAAGAAGAGCAGCTCAACACTGTGACATAATGTGACATATACTGTCATACATATACTATCACATCTTTATTACATCTACATACATCTACATCAACATACATCTACTACAGTATGTCTCCATCATGATTTCATAATATTTCATAGATTTTCATAGTGCATCTCCAAAGTGCATGACTGCATGGCACTAGTAGGCTGCAATAGGCTCCACATGATCCACATTGCTCCTCTCCATCCTCTATGACCTACGCATACGCACTGTTTCTGAGGATTCCACCCTGGGATGATGTCATTTGCCAAGACTGGAGAGTTTTCGACAAGATGTCGATAGTTCGAGTTCCTGTCGAGGGCAGACTCTGCAACTTCACAAATTGGCACTAGAACTGCCAAGTTGTTGAATGTCGTTGCTACTTTAAACCAATCCAGAGAATGAACGAGCTACTTCGAGGCTCTTCAAACTCGTTATATAGATTCCCTTGGTTTTCCCAAAGAGAAGTGAAGCTTTCCCAAGAAAAATGTAGTGTCCTGTACACAATGTCTCTTGTCCTGAGCATGGTGCATGTTTGGATCTGTTGTCTTTAGACCCTATGGAGGCGCCTCCCGCACCACTCAACAAAATCAAACCACCAAACCCCAATGGCCCTAATGAAGCGGACTGCGGAAAGCATTTGCAAACAATGCAGGAATGACGAGGTCAAATTCTTCAGGAGCGTTGCAGCCTACCCGTTGACGGAGTTGGTCAGCAGTGTCAAGCCACCGAAAAAGAGAAGCAGACGCTACATCCATTTGCATCGGACATTTTCTCAGCCGTAGACTTTACCTGTGGGTGGCCATTTCTTTGTGGGGATCTTAAAGTCTTAATGCAATATGATTAAGATGATGGTACACTGGTACATGATGCCACATGTGGCATAGTATGCATGGTATGCATAGTATTGCATAGTGTAACCACTGAAGCACCTTTCCGCGCAGGTTTGGATTCTTCACATGGTTGCCATTGCCCAACATAAAGGTGACCTCAGATCCGTTTCTCCAAACACGCATAATAAACGACGTATAAACAGTTTATAAATGACAAAATGTTAGAAAGCTCGGAGTTTATGAACTCGGCCAAGCCGCCATTAGCAGCAAAAGCTGAGCGTCCAGGTGTAGAAACAACTGAACATGGAACAGCAAGGCACAGCGAGGCACAGTGACTCTAACTCAGCTGATTCATAAATGGAAAAGTGTGCAAAATTTGTCTCATATATACAAATGAATACACTAGATCATGCTGTATGAATGCAAAAACATCCAGAGTCTACATGGCATACATTCGAAAGTCTTGGAATCTAGTGACTAGTGGAATCCCAAAGCGATGTTCACAGGGCCCTGCCTCCGAGGGACCCTTGCCTTGTGGTTGAATACTGGTCACTATCTCCAAGACCTCAAGAGTTCCGCTGAGATAACTGAGATAATTTTCAGGCTGCAGGTTTTCAGGTCTTGGCATGAAACACATTGGAAACGCTTTGACTTTGAGGATGTGAAGCTTTTACAGATATGTTGCGGCTTGTTTGTCAAGCCGCGTCAGGACAGAACAATAAGACCTGCACTGCACCGCCCCCACCTCTATGACATCTTCCAGAATACACGAGGGCAGCACAGACCACTGAGGAGAAACCTCCAATCGAAATATAGAGCTTGCTTGTGCGATAACGTTTGAGATACCAGTCATACCAGATCAGAGCAGCACAGTCTATCTGTCTTGGAATGGCAATGAAATGAAACAACCAAGGAATGAATGAATGAATGAATGAAGGAAGGAATGAATGAATGAATAGTGAATGAATGAATGCATGCATGCATGCATGACTTGTATAAGATTGCACAAGATTGCACAAGTATCATGAAACATCAATGAAGAGCATTGAAAAGCGTTTTTCAGACTCGCGCTGCTGTGTCAGACCGAGCGGCTTGGCCGACATCGGTGCAAGCGCCAATCTCTAAGCTGTGAATGAGATACACCATCACTGCACACCATGGCCTTCAAAAGGCCATGACAAAACAACACAAAAGCCAACTCTCGTGCTTGGATTTGCTGTAATAATTCGAATTCATACTATCTCATTTATTATTCATCATTTATCATGACCTAATGGGCTGAAGACTGATTGATTTCAATCAGACCTGAAAATAGACAAAGATAAACATTGAATAACATTGATCTGTGCCAGGGACATGGTGTGCCTGGGTGGTATGCCTACTTTGACGAAGATGAGATAAGAATGGACAAGAACTATGAAGAACTGAGAGATGCTGTGCAGCTCTCTGCTTCATGTGTATGATTCAGCAGCAGCCCGGGCCCCGGAATCAGACGCACTGGGCTCTGCAGAGCGAAAATGTCTGTCGAATGAACTGTCGAGTGACCTGTCGAATGACCTGTCGAATCGCTGGGAGATCCGGAACGCTTCTGCCCACGTGAGCTCTTTGGGAGGATCCGTATGTGACATTCCAAGAAGAGTGTATGCAAAGAAAATGGGGACAAATGCGAGCAAGTAATGTCCACCTGGAAAAGTGATGCACTTTTCATAGCACTTCGCATGTCCAGCAGGCCCACAGTCAAAGTCCATCACCGCCAAAGCCGCAAGGCCAACAGCCAAGACCAGAGCTGCCACACAGTTGAGTTTGTAATGGGCAAAGAGAAAAGCGCCAATCGCCCAAATCACAGCTGCATAGACATGTACAACCCCAAGAATGCACGCTACAACAGTCAAGGCGAATTCCCCTGCCCTTGATGCCACTACCATCACTGCAGTTAGAGAGGCTACAAGAAAAACTCCGCTGAAGATCCAGATACCCTGCCATCTCCTCGATGGCCAAATTGCTTCTCCAACACCATTGACCAATCCAATCAACGGGGCTGAGGAGGAAGTGCTGAGAATTCTGCTAATCAAAAAGAGAGAAAAACCACTCCTCTGGGAGAACACTGTAGTTGCAATCGCTTCTACCAAATAGCCAAGTCCACTCAAGGCGAAATAAGTGATGTAGAGCCATTGGTGAAGGTGCTGAAGGTGGCGAGCAGTATCTGTGTTGGGACTGATGCGTCCCAAGTGCCATTCCACAAGCGCCAGAAGTGCTGCAATCGCAGCCATGCTGTATAAACAAATGCTCTTCACCTGACAGCTCAAATGATCTCAAATGTATTCGAATGTTAAGATTATCAAGAGGTGTCAAAAGCATCTGGGAATCTACTGATACTGATGCGACACTTGGCAAACAAGAAGGCACACGTCAGTCTTGTGAACACACACACACACACGAGCAAACATACACACCGGCCAAGGAGCCGGATACGTGAACGCATTGAACACATTGAAGGATGGATCGGATGGATCCAGAATCACAACATTCGCTGCACCCCACACGGGTCCAGCCGAAACATTGCAAGGATTCTCCAGAGAATCCATGGCACCGAGGGAGCTGAGCCCCTTCGGTTCCAAGAATTCTCCAATTCTTGTGTGCTGTTACTTTTTTTGCCTTGGGATACATGTTTCTTTCAAAGACAATGTGATTTCAGATTGTCTTCACACTTAGAATAGAGTGGCATAACACGTAGCCGGATCTTTGTTGGTGGACCATTTGATCTTCTTCATCTTAAGACAATGTAAGTGCACTAGTTGCAGATGGATTGTCCACATGAATGAATTCGTTTGTCCGATGTGCACAATCGTGTCATTCTGCATTCCCCTGTGGGTGTGCCTTTAGTGAACAAAGGCACGAAATGCTGCTTTATCTAAAGTCTGTGCTCTTTCAATAATTCTCAATATACTTCTACGGAAATCCTATGGACACTATGGCATGTGATCTGGGCTCTGTTATGCTCTGCACACATTCGGTTTGTCCCAACCTCTTATGGCTCTGGCTGAAGCTTGAGCGCTGCGAACAAGCAACGAAGCAATGCAGTCCAGCTACTGAACAAAGACTAGATACAATTCGGAGATATTCCGAGTGATCTCCCGAAAGCTTTGGGCTGGTGACTTTGAAAACATTTTTATAGATACAGTAATGCAAATATAAACCCAAAAGCACTACCTCCATCACGTACTGAACCCTCCAGAGCATTGAACCACACACATTCAAACTGACTCAAACACATGGTCGGAACTGTCAGTGCGATCCATCTGTTCTCGCTGCTCTGACACACTGGTGAAGTAGAAGGGTGGCCAATCTCTCAACATCTCTTGACATCCCGACCACACTCTGCAGTATGTACACGAAAAAGGCCACTTGTCATACTACGGAAATGTCCTAGTTTGGTACTGCAACTCTGGACGTCTCCATAACGCGCGCAAACAGAGCATGGGTCATCTGGGCTGAATTGTTTTTTTTTTGCGCTGTCATGTTTGCACAAATGTTGTGACATAGATAGCAAACAACACCAATCGAAACCAGCTTCAAAGGAGGTCAACAAGCAGGACGCAGTACCAGTATGCACCAGTCTGTGCCAGTATTTCCTTGTTTTGCCTGCAAGAACACAGAAACATGACTGGTATCACTGTTGTACATTATAATATATATAATATATAATATAATATATATTATATATATAATATAATATAATATAATATATAATATAATATAATGTAATATGATATAATATAATATAATACAATATAATATAATATAATGTAATATATGAAATATAATATAATATATAATATATAATATATAATATATAATATATAATATATAATATATAATATATAATATATAAAATATAATATATAATATATAAAATATAATATATAATATATAATATATAATATAATATAATATAATATAATCTGATATAATATATTATAATATAATATAATAAATTATAATATAATATAATATAATATAATATATGAAATATAATATGATATGATATGATATAATGTAATATAATATAATATAATATATAATATATAATATACAATATAAAAATATAATATAATATACAATATATAATATGTAATATATCATATATAATATATAATATATAATATATGATATATAATATATAATATATAATATACAATATATAATATATATATAATATAATATAATGTGTATATATATATATACAATTCTTATCTGTATCTATATAAATATGTATATATTACATGACATGTAAATTTACTATATATGTGTACTAGCAGATGTTGGCAGCTCTCCAGCTGGCTCCAGCTCCACCGCCCCCGCCGAGCCCGCCGAGCCCCAGACTTCCTCGGTCAGGACAGAGCCTTGGACTTTGCCAGCAGCAAAATCTGCGACCTCAAGCTCCACACATCTCCACACATCTCCACACATCTCCACACATCTCCACACATCTCCACACATCTCCGCGACAAAACCGATGCTGCAATTTCTGGATTCCCATGAACTCACGCAGGCATTGGACAATGAACTAGGACGATGAACGACTGTCAAGGAGCATAATATGGAGCATGGCAAACGCTTTTCTTGGGTCGTGCTCCTCTGCATGCAACCGAAAGCCTTGTTGACTTTTGTCTCGGTCATTCAACTCTTTAACACTATATACTCGGTAGCAGGCTCGGTCAGGGAAGGCTGCACCCAAGCAAAAGGCCATGACCTGAAGGTCTTTTGCTGCTGGCACTAAAAAATATATTAAAAACAATCGTATAGTCTGAGAAGTCAGAATCCATACCCGAATTTAAGAGCCAGATCTCTTCTTGGCTAATATCCCTGGTCAAACCATTCAGTGACTCCATCACTTTCTGTCCATGCCGAGTTCCACACCAAGTTTAGGAAAGTTCCAAGGTCACCTGCTGCACCGCAAGACGATTTGTCACAGCGTTGCCAAAATGTCAACCTGTCAACCGACTTCCAGTGCAGAGTTCGCCTAGGAAGGCACTGCTGCCCAGGATGGCTTCATAGACGAGGTGCTCCCCCATCGCAGTCTGAAGGGCATCACCCAACGCACCAAATGTTCGTGAAACTTAGGGATTCGATGTGATGCACAAATCCTGTAGCATTTGAAGTTTTGAACAGATTATAACAGATTAATACAGATTAGATCAGATTAGTTTTTCTTGGCAAGAGCGGTAGTGCATGGTAGTGCCAGGCTGAAGAGGCACCTCCATAATTGCCATGTTCTTCGTGTGGAAATAGCCAGCTGCTGCAACCATACAAAGGTTCTCCTAGATGCTTGGTCAACTCAATACAAGCACGAAAGCGTCACCATGGAATGGCATTGCAACAATGGCATGGTGGCATGCTTGGGTGATTGAAGATACGTGGCTCTCACAGGACGAAATCACAATGACAAAGTCCCGGCCAAAATGCCCACGATGCCACAGGTCCTTCATCACTGGCACACAAAAGACGTGGAAAGCCTCGGTTGAGGATGTTGAGGACCCGGTGATCTCTGCGACAGATCGAACCATGTTATCCGTCTCTATTAAGAATCCATGCATCTTTATGCGTCTCTATGCACTATCTTAGTCTATCTTACAGTTCGTAAGGCAGCAGCTCGAATGGCAAGCCAAAAGATTTGAGTCGGGAACCTCGGCCAAGAGGGATCAAGGCTTCCACGTTATAACATGTTATAACTTGACTTTTCCATGAAATGCTTCATGGACTAGCCAGAGGACTGTCCAAAGAAGTTGAGCATCTGTACAATGTCATTGATGTCACTGTATCCAATCATATCCAATCTGTATTTCGGCATATCTGGGCTATAGAATCACTCTGCCCCCTGTGCCATCGGAGCCTAAGATGCCACACTTTGAGGGATCAGTCAGAAGGCCCTTCGATTTTGCATAGGCTTTGGTGGCCTCGACCTGTCCAGTCACTCGATCTGTGCAGAAAGCCTCCCAGTGACCACATCTAGCAGCTGAATAGTGTGATGTGTTGAGATGTGTTGAGCAATAGTTTTGAGTTGTGTAAGGTAGTGATGCTCAACTACCTACAAGGTCATCCGTTTCACAACCCTGTTCCTACCTCCGAGGTCTCTCCGAAACGAGGCTCGTCTATGAAGCCACCAATGACCTACAAGTGCCAAGGAAGTGCCAAGGCCAAACACACAGCCAAACACACTTCCAAAATCTTCCAAACACCTGCGACAACTGCAACCATTGCAGCCTCGTGCACTGCATGTCAGAATTATACACATGACACTTGGTCTTCATAGTCTTCATATGTCTTCGTAGTCTTTATAGTCTTCATAGATTTTGGATGTCTGAAGAGTTTGGGGCTGAAAGATGCTGAGCACAAGCAGAACTGATCGAAACTGCCTCCTTGTCATGGTCACCTTCTCTCAGCAAGTAGAATGGCTCCAAGGTGCTAACCTGGCAGCGAAACCTGTTTCCACACTTGATGCACTTGACGCGCTTTATAAATCTTGTATAAGAGCCTGAATGCAGGCTTTGCTTGAAGGCTTTGAAGGCTTGGCATGAAGTGGTGCGCAAATATATGCACATATCAACATCTGCCCCGAGCCTGAGCAAGCTTGATGGGTTTGACAAGCTCCAGGATGGCCCAAAAGCTATTGACCTTGGAATTGACACGCGCACACACACACAGATCACACAGAGTTTACGCAGGAAGTGCAGTCACGTTCACAAAACAGGAAAATCACGGTTCAGTGGCAGAAATCTACTGTGTTGGCCGGTTTTGATATGAATGTGTGGAAGGTCAACTCTGAGCAAATCATGACAAGCACTGAGGAAGTTGCGACTTCCTGCGGCTTGAGCTCCACACACACAGTCCAGATGTAGCAAAACCAGAGGACTGGGCCTTTGCAAAGTCGCTGACGTCCATGTAGAAAAAACATGAAGAAACAACACCCAAGAAATCGTGTTGCAATGTGATTGGAGCCTTCATGATCTGCATTTGCATCTGCATGTCCAAAGGGACTGGCCTCATGGCAAAACCGACCTTCGTAATTACCGTTTGATCACCAATCTTTTCGGATGACATACATTTGACGAAATGTTGGTAAATCATGGTAAATCTGTCTCAGCTCTTCAAAGCTTCACCTTCCAAGACTGACACTTCTAATTACTGATGTATTTGCAGACTCCCAGTGACTCCCAGTCAAACACGTTCAACTCCCTACAGAACCCAGCTGTGTCAGACAAGCGATCCTGTATGTCGCCAGCTATCGTGATGATTGGCACTCAGTTCGACACGCATTTTCAAGCATATGTATGAAGCCTTGCGGCCCTTGTCCCTGAGGACAGGCGATAAAACAGGCAATGCATGGCTGGAAGACCTGGTTTCGAGGTCTAAGTGCTTTATTTTCGTACTTTGAGAGCAATTTTACGCAGTTTCAAGGTATGCTGTGGCAGCAACCCTGTGTTGGATGGTCCGTGGCGCGACTCTTTCAGGTTGAAACACCTTTGAATAAGGATGCCATGATGCCTTCTATACTCTGCGTGCACCCAAGCAGTCAAATGAGAACGGTTGTGCCTGGTCCATCATGTTGGCGCTCTTTGTCCTTGATGCGTGTCGGCAGCACGCGATCTCTCTAAGGTAGTAGCGCACTAGTAGTGACACAAATATTGTACGCAAAAGGAGGGGGTGTTTCGTGAAACATGTGAAACGCTGGCTTAGATGAAAAGCCGACTACACCACAAATGTCAGAATTGATTGACACGGTCGTCCTGGCTTGTGAACCGGTAATCAAGGCAGCAAACCAGGCGACCACTGCATTTCTGCTGGCCTTATGTCAGGACATCAAACTCTACCCGCGAGTGACTGCAAATAGCTGGAGAACACACATCACATTCCATCACAAAATCAAGATAATTAGATAAGATAGGCCCCAGATAGGCTTCCGCATTTCCACGGTATGTCCTTCTCTCCTGACCTGCGTCCTTACATCCGTCCCTTTCTCCTTGTGATGTTCTCGCACTCTTGCGACAGGCTGATGCCAATGCCAACAATGAGTTTTTAGTTACTGTTCGTCTTTCTCGCCTCCCCAGCACGAAGTAGTGGCGCTACAACGCTGCTACCTTGTCGAAGAACCTGCCAGCATGACATGTGAAGGTTGTCCGTGAATGTCTTTAGCCGACCGGTTGAGCTTTCAAAGTAGATTGGGGTCCTGCACAGGAATCGAGGCTCTGCAACTCCGCATGTGCACAAGGCTGTTTGTTTCTTTCTTCCCTTTTGTCTCAAGATATCTCAAGTTTCAGTCTTGAAAGACACTGCAGCCTTGCGTTTGGTTTTGCAGTTTGGTTTATTCAAACATATTCAAACAATTGATGTCCAGATACAGCCTCTTGCATCGAGTCAACTAAATGAAGGTTGGACAGTGGACATAGAGTGAGGAGAAGCTTTGAAACCCCGAGTCACTAGACTTCCTGTGACTTAGTGTAACTATGTGTAACTTATCCGTGCTGTCTTGAGTTGCAACTCTGCCTCCTGCACAGTATCCCGGAGTAGTCTTTGAACCTGGCCGGAGACCCTGGTCATGAAATGTCATGAGCATGATGAAGATGGATGAAGATGGATGAAGATTGGACAGTGGATGATGATTCATGATTCATGAACATCCATGATTTTTTGCTCAATCGTCGTTGAATCGGCACCAAAGCTCTATATACACGTTTCTGCAGCGCAAAATGATGAGATTCCTACTGACTCAACCGAAGAGCGGCTTCGGGAGGCAAGACCACGGGAGAAGTGCACTGAACGTGCGCTCTGCTCCTTGACACGAAAGATCACAAAAGAATGGTATGATTGGTATGGGCTGATTGACATCTTGGCAATTCACTTGGCAAATCTGAAAGCTACTAGTTCCTGGTATCTGAGTCATTCTGAGTCATTCTGCGTCCATGCGGCGCCAAAAGGAGAAAACAATTTGAACCAGCAAGGCTCAGAAGACCAACACCGTGCGCGATGCCACCACACACATCCTGCCTTGTAGAGTGCTGTGTCGATGCAGGTTGGAGAGAGGATCCAACCAAGTAGGCTCTCTGATTGAAGTCTGGCAAGTTACAGCGAGGGAAACGGCGGGGCTCAACTTCCAGCAAGCCAAAAAGAAGAGCTCAGCGCACCTCCATCCCATACCCGGCTGCGGCACGCTTCCAGAAGCACCTTGGGTTCCAAAGTCCCCCTGCAAAGATTCAAAAAATGTAGCAATTTCATACGGTTTCAATGGTCTTCATGCGAACCGGCAAGACAGACTTGGATGAGGGGAAATTGAGATGGAAATTGAGATGTTGAGGAGACTTTGAGTATCTTTGAGTGTGGCACAAAAGCCAGAAGAAAACCCCAAGACATGACCGTTTCAGCGAGATTCAGCGAGTACAGTACAGTGAGCAGTTCGAGCTCCCAGCCAGCCATCATGCTCATAAGTGGGTTGGGCGCAGCCTGGCACAGCAGCATACAGCAGCTTTATCTTTCTTCAACCACCTTTCTGAAGCCATGAAAGTGTATGAAAACGTATGAAAGTCCCCTGCTTTCATTCCGAGCCAACTTGACTTCCGTGGACCTTCTCGGATTTTTTCAGTGGGTGACAAAGTGTGACAACATGTGACAGAGGTGGAAAATGTTTGAAGTTTGATGGGCACTTTCCCGTCCTGAGGAGCTGCTGCTGGCCGAAAGGCTGGGAGGGTCACCAAGAGCTTGGCCAGAGGGCCCTGGCCGTGACCCACGTGACATCCCCAGATCCCACAGCGCTGCAATGGCCCTGCAAGATAACATAATATAACGACATAACGAATGCTTTGGCCATGCCTTCGTTGCGCTGACATCAGCTATCAAACGGAACTCCTCAGGAGGTGCTTAGATCAAACATCTGAACGAGACCCGCGGAGATCTCAAGGCACTACAAGTACGGAACAAGGTGCACAGCCAAATGCAAAGCCGACACAGAGTTCAATCTGAGCATCTTTTTTCCGAGTCGCGCTTTGAGTCTTTACAACGCGAAACACGCCATGACTGAATGGGCTACAATGCGCCGTGGCTCCCAAGGCAGGAAACACGGCAACATACAGCAACCACATGGGGTCCCATATCTTGTTTCGTTTGATATATGTTCCCACACATATCACAAATCTCAGTTCACCTCTGAGTTCCTAGTCTGAGCCACGCAAGGGTGTTCCGTATGTTCCATGCCAAGACCTTGAATACGACACGATGCACCCAGACCATCTAATCGCAAGGAAAAGATGGGACTGGGTGGCTAAACTCTGATGTCAAGACTTTGTTGATTGTATGTCCAATCGTGCCCAAGCTTTGCTTTCTTGATGACCCTGAAATTGACACATGAGCCTCAACTGAGACACTTTGAGGCAAGTTGACTGGGATTCCAAGGAGCCATGACAGCACTTTCTTCATCAACATGATTCATTCTGAGTCATCAAGAGACCATGTGCTGTACCACAGGGGCAAAAGGAAGGGCTATGGTTCTGTGCTAGCTATTTGCGGAAGTTCAAGAAAGCGTTCTGGACTGTCATACAATTTTTCCATGGAGCCCGTTCCACAAATAGTCGAAATGGATGGTTTCACAGGGTTGAAACTTGCTTCACCTGATTGAAATCACCAGCTGCATCTGCGCAAAGAGCTTGCTTCACCTTTCCGCAAACCAGGAAGGCACCAAGTTGAAATCACATCGACAAAGGAAAGGTGAGCAAGACATCCGTGATATACTTGTCATGCGACGGGTGTTAAAGACGCAACACACTTCAAGTTTCAATTGGATCATCTTCAAAGATCATAAAACAATATAAATAAAACAGCAATGCAGAAAGTCTGCCTCTCCTTTCTCCAGGCTTGGGCTTGAGACAGTTTTCGCAGCCGATCTCATTGTAGTTTGATTGCGAGATGAAGCAGAGCTATCAAGAGTTTGCACAATTTTTGCATTCTTTGTTAAGTCATGTGACAATTCCTGTGACAATGCATGTGGCAGTGGATGTGACAGTTGATGACACATGTTTGGCCACTAAGTGGTCTCTGTTTGGTGTTTGGGTCGCTCGAGAGACCTCGTGCGCTGCTATGCACTGCTTTACTCAGGGTCACAGTGTCACATCTTGCGCTCCTGCCCGCCCTGTCTTCATGTGGAACACTGTGGAACGTTGTTCCATGTTGACGTTCTTGGTGTTCCTTTCTTCATCTTGTCGTGTATTTCCAACTCTCGAAGTGCGCGCCTTTGGGGCTCTGCAAAACATGCTAGAGTAGGCCAGGGTTGCAGACTATTGGAAACAATTCATCATGGTTGATTCATCTGTGCATTGTTTTTCTTTTTGGCTGACAGCGATACGGCTTTGAAATTCAAACAAATCTGCTGTGTACTGTGACTGAATATCACACTCAAACCGTATCAAATCTACAAAAACACGAGACTGGGTCCAAAAGTCAAAAGCCGCTGCCTGCTGCCTGGTCAGAAACGCAGAAAGCAGAGAACGCAAAGTGTGCGCAGCATGCCGTGTCAGATCTCTCGTCCCGGCATGCTACTGAGCTGGTGGGAAGAGGGCGAGGGGGCCACAGGACCCTGTAGGATGCATGGGAAGGTTGGGTAAAGGGGAAAGTAAGCACACACAGCAAAGCATTGTAAATATCTAAATGTGTACAATATATCTGTATATATATATATATATATATATATACGTGTATATATATATATATATACGTGTATATATACGTTTGCAAATTTTCCTGGATTCAAGATTCAAGAGTCAAAATTTATTATCCGTTAACTCTCATTGATCTTAGCACAATACTACATCATTGTTTATGTATCTATATGGTGATTTTTTACCAGTAATGCCGCACAAGGCGGCGACGGAAGTTTCAAGGATAGCACACTATAGGAGAGGTGAGTTGTTGTGATGCATGGATGGCAGAGCGAATCCACTGATGGACCGAAAGGTGGTTGGAGTTGTGTTTTTTGGAGTGGTTGCAATGGTTGCAGTGGTCACCTCACTCACAACTCATGGATGTAGTGTGGTGTAGTGCAATAGTTGGTTGTAGTTGTAGTTGTAGTGGGGTTGCTGTTGTTGAAATTGTAATGTCGTGGTTGTAGTTGTGGCTGCAGTTGTAGCTGTAGTCAAGTTGACACGCAGTTGAAGTTGCAATTGTCTTAATTGTAGTAATTGTAGTAGTTGCAATAGTTGTAGGAGTTGTAGTTGTAGTTGTAAATGTAGTTGTAGTGTACTGGTAGTTGTCGTTGTAGCTGTAATTCTAGTTGTGGTTGTAGCTGTAGTTGTAGTGTAGTGTAGTGTCGTGGTAATTGTTGTTGTAGTAGTGTAGTTGAAGTTGAAGTTGTGGTTGACATGTAGTTGTAGTGTAGCTGAAGTTGTAGTTGTAGTTGTAGTTGCAGCCGTAGTTGCAGTTACAGCTGTAGTGTAGTTGTAGTAGTTGTCGCAGTTGTAGTTGTAGTTGCAGTTGTAGTTGTGGTGGCACTTGTACTGTAGTTGAAGTGTAGTTGCAGTTGTGGCTGCAGCGGTAGCGTAGTTGAAGTTGTAGTTGTAATATGTTGTAATGTGTTGTAGTGCAGTTGCAGTTGTCTATCTATCATTATCTATCTGTTTGTCTAGATATCTGTTTGTCTAGCTGTCTTTCTGTTGCTCTATCTGTCTATCTATCTATCTATCTATCTCTATCTATCTATAAAGCCTATCTGCAAGTTTCAAAACGAAGCTATTCTGCGAGACTTCCTCAGTTTTTGAATTTGACAACATCAAAAACGCAGCACTTCTGCGAGACTTCCTCAACTTTTGAACTTGACAACGTCAAAAACGAAGCTATTCTGCGAGACTTCCTCAGTTTTCAAGTTGACAACATCAAAAACGAACCAATTCTGCGAGGCTTCCAAACATGGAAAGTTGAGTGCAGAGCTGACGGCCTCGTACCAATGCGTTTTGCTATTTTTCCGGTCTATGTCACTAAAGTATTGCGCCTGCCACGAAAAGTGATGCCGGGTCATACGAAGTACTGCACCTGTCACGCAAAATCATCTTAGCAAACCTGAAGATCTGATGCTCCAAAATGCAACCCCTCTCAGGAAATCAGTGCCCTGACCTCCTAACATCTCTGATGAACATGTCTTTTGTACTGCGCCTGCCATGCGAAATGCATCTTTCCAGATCCTCTTCAAATGATTCAAATGTCCCACGTGTGCCATCGTTTTTGGAAATCCCACAAAACCCTCACGTATTGCTCACTTTTGACAAGTTGCAGAGAATCCCTTGTGCCTGCCACGCAAAATGACCTCTGAACCTAAATGGTCCAAGCATGTGGTGCTTTCAACATTTTGACCTGGAAATGTGCTTCGCGCCACAAAGACGTGCACTATTTCGACGTGTCAACTTCCAAAAGTGGCCCGAGCATGGTGTGCATTGTACATTTTGACTTGGCAATGTGCTTCGCGCCACAACTGCGTGCACTTTTTCGGCATCACAACTTCTTAACGTGCTCCGAAGCTGGGGTGCTTTGTACATTTTGACTTCGACATGTGCTTCGCGCTACAACAGCGTGCAATTTTTCATCTCTCATCTGGCCAGATGGCTCCGCACCCGCCGCTTTAGCGAGCCTACTTTTCGACCCTCCAGACCCACAAATCATTGGAAAAACGCAGTGTTTCGCGACTGTCCTAACTTTTAGCGCACCTGCATCTTCTTTCTTCTGACTTTCTCTTTTTTGATCTTCTTTCTTCTTCTCTTCTCTTCTCTGACTCTTCCCATCTCTGCTTTTCATCTGTCCATATTGTCGGAAGTTTGACTTCTAAACTTCCTTCGATAATGGCACCCCCCTGGAATCCAACCATGTAAAACCTTCACATAATCACGTAAATACCAATACAATAACTGAAAGGTGGGTGTTGGGGGGGTACCATATATACGTAATATAATATTATATTTATATCAAGCGCTGAAGGTTCGAGGACTTGACCTCTAACAAAAAGATAATATCAAAAAAGTATAGACCCGTATAGACTCGCAAGAGCTTCTTGGAGGTCTCCCTTTAAGATATTCATGAGTGAACAAAAGGGGAATCAAGGGAGGGCCAACTGAAATCTGCAGGCGAAGCAACTCTACAGGCCCAAGCGCAAAAGACTTCACAACCAGTGCGTTGTTTGTGTTGCACCTCTGCACGTATAGCACACGCAGCACGTTCGCCGGCTCTATCGCGTTGGACCTGCATGATTGCTATGACTGGCTATGACGTACTGCAATCGCCACGACGTTACTATTCGACTGCTTTGATATGCTTCGATGTTACCTCGAAAAGACTTCATGCGCCACGAAGTTCACACAGTGCGCAGTGCACAAGTGACCCAAGTCGCCCAGCTCGTGCCTGGCCATTCATGGGATGTCGCTGAGGTCCTCAGAGATCAACCTGCCCAATGGAAACCCAACGGAAGCCGCACACGGCTGGCATCAGCCTGCTCTTTGGAGTGTCTTTTCTCTTGTTTTGCCAGTGGCAATTGCTTTTCAGTCGTTTCACCTTCAACCTTTGAAAAAGGATGAAAGGGAACAATTTCAGTGGAGGTCTGACGCGCCGATGTGGGTCAAGTTTTTGGTGCCAGGTGCAAAAAAAAAATATAGATGATGCTGGGATATGTCGGGGTGCCTATTTGCTGAAGTCTAGGGTGTTTGGCTGTGATCCAAGACTACATCACTCCACAGGCCCAGAAAGTCAAGATAATCAAGACTGGGTATTCTATAAGCTCTTTACACGAATCAAAACCAATCAAAACCAATCAATCCACATCAAGGCTTAAAGCAGCGAAAAGCATCGAAAAGCAAGGTATTCCTGAAATCACCAAGATTTCGATGTAGAAATACAACACCAGTGCGTCATGGCCCGTCGCCCATGCCTGACACAAATGGGTTCAGGATCAGAATCAAATCGGACAACCCGGCGGCGCTTTGGATCGGGCTCAGGATCCTCAGGTCAAAGGCGGTCAAAGGTGCAAGCCGCTCTGGAGATGTGACATGCGACTCTGACCATATCTGGAAAATTGTGGGAAAATTGTGGGAAGATCATGGAAGATCGGGAAGATGTGTATTCTGTAGTGATGCAGAAATATGTTGGAAAAAAGTAAATTAGAAAGGCCATTGTTATCTTCTTGTTCTGCTTGAGTGCAAGCCGATGCTCCATGCCGGTCTGTGCCCCAAGTATCCTAGATGTTTCTTCACTTTTCTGCATGGTATCACCATAAAGGCGACTCGGCTCCCAACCAGCTCTATGACACCGTTGGCATTTGTAGCTTCGTTTAGTGCCATTTGAGCCTTGCGTGCGCAAAAAGAGGCTCAGAACAGAAGAGACAATCAGCTTCTCACAACATACCGGTATACTTTTCCACCAAGAGTTGTGCTTTCTGGCGGGCCTTTCGTTGCAAAGCTTTTAGGTGTCGCCGAGCACCATTGGAACTCAGCTCTTGCTCACCTTGTTTCCAAAGTTTTGGAAAGTAGAAAAAAACACGGTCCTGCCTGATTCGCTACTTGCAAGACTCCATGACTCCATGACTGTTGTCTTCAGCATTTTTCTCATTGACATTCAACGATGGAAACTCAAAATGTGTTGCTAAAAGGCCAAAAGAGATTTCTTTATGCGACGTCCCGCCAGTCTTGCGAGCGATTTCGATTCGACCTCTTTGTCACAGATCTCCAAAACTTGGAACCCGCGCTGAAGTCGAAAAGATTCGGAGGAAGAGGCTCTGAATCTTCCAACAAAGCACCGAAGAAGCTGTTCCTGGAAGTTTCAGCCAATTCCAATCAACGAAAGGTATATTGGACTCTGCAGACTTCAAGAACTGAAACAGTTTGTGAATTCCCCAAGAGAAAACAAAGAAAGGCGATGTAACGGGAGTTCAAACATTCACAGGGTGTTCACATTGACATGAGTTCACTCGCCTCAACAGCCGCACAGGGTGTTGCCTTTTGGATGGATCAAAACGAAGCAGAGCAGCTGGAATCTCGAGTGCCTGCCGTGAGGCGGTGCGAGGGATGGTCGACAAATTTGTTCCATGTTACTGCTTATGAACGTTTCTGAACTAGGTCCACGCTTGACAGACGCTGCGGCTTTTCATGCCAATTTCACCAAAACGCAAGCATTTTTTCACTTTCTGTTTCTTGGAGATCGAAACAACTACTGCAAAGTAGCATCGCAACAGTCTTTTGCTTCATCTTTTCAGCATACCAAGCGTGTGCCAACTACCAAAGCCAAGATAAGCGAAGCAGAAAAACAATCAGGACCTTGCCAACTCAAATTGCTCGAGTGGTGGGTGCGCTTGCTGTCCATAATTTGAGAAGACTGTACCCCGAAAGCCACCCATCCCGACCACCTGCTGTTCATGCGCAAAAGCAGGTAGCAGGTCCTCGGTTTCAACTGGGAGAAACGACCATGACAAAGTGTGGGAATTGAACAGATCGTGCCTGAGATTGCCTTATGCAATGCAGTCCTAAGAGTGTCATTCTACACCCTTCCTGTTCAAGAGAACATCAGGAGTATTCTGGAGTCAATGGCAAGAAAAAAGATCCGTTGAATCCGAGCACGCACTCTTTCACCTCTTTCTCCGTTTGTCGTTTGTCTTCTCATTTGGTCTCATTTGTCTTTCTCCGATCCAGCCGAGTCGCCTCCCAAGCCTTTGATGGTCGCTGTAGCTCCGCCAATTTCGTGAAGTGTCCAGCAAGCCGCCCATCGCTGCCTGCCTCCGAAGCTGCAGCAATCACAGACGGTTGAAAATACATGAAGTTCATGCCTTTATGCCATCTGTTTCTTTGAAGTAAACAAAAATGACCTAATTTGCACGTAACAGTGCATGTGCTAATTCGTATGCATCTCCAGTAAGACATGACATCCTGATACATGTAATTCAATCTTGCATAGAAACCTATGATCAGAAGTCCGTCACACAGCTCCGCGAGCCTTTGCTTAACTTGCTTAACCTGCTTAACCATGCACAAATCACAAATACCATTACTCAAACTTCAGCCAGCCCGATGCCTGCATTGCCCGCAGCTGGTCAAGAGAGGGGGTTCCCAAAGCCCGGATGATCTCCTGAGAAAACAGGCACCGGGCAGATCGAACCGTGAAACAAACCTTGCATGATCGCCATGATCATGATGCTGGTCAATGCTGGTCAATACTGGTCACCTTTTAATGTGACTCAAGCGCATGTATGATGTATATATGATGTATCTGCATCGGTGATGATATGTGATATGACGAAGAGAGATAGAGAGGTAAGAGCGGTAGGAGAGAAGAAAGTTCACGAAGTTCATGTATTCCGCCAAGTCATCCCTACATTTCAGTCAGAGCCAAGGAACGTACATCTGTCCCCAACTGGATTCGCCAGTGAAAAGGGGCTTGCCAAGCATCATCTCTGCTGTTATGCAACCACAGGACCACCAATCCTCCAGGGAAAACAAATCGAGTCAAGGGAGGTCCAAGATTGGCAAATCCCGCGCCACTGGTACAGACTGCGATCAGAAAATGTGTCTGTCCGTTCAACGTGTTCCATTTTGCAATTTTCGACTGATGGTATGCTCTGTCCAGCGCACGCGTCTCCATCACTTGCCATGAAAAAATCCAACTTTGTAAGTACTTTAAGATACTTTAAGTACTTTGCAGCTATGCATCAATGCTTGTGCTGTAACGCGTTGCTCCGAAGATGAGCTCCGGGGCTCGCCACCAGCGCGAGCAAATATAGCCTGGTTAACATTGCAGCTCGGCTCAAGGACCCGAAGATACCCGAAGCATCTCAACAAACAAATCAAGATATCGGAAGATTCGGAAGATTCGGAAGACAGATTGGCGGCAGATTATGCAATCCAAGCCACTGCACGAAGGCTCGTCGGTCAAGACCTCCAGGGGTCACACAGAACATGGCCCAATGTGGAGTTTCCAAATGCAATGAGAAACATGAGGACATGTGCCATGGATATGATTCTGATATGATGTATCTCGTGTTATGTTTGTCCAATCTAATTGCCGGCGAAAAGAATGCTCGCATCATTTCACATCCAGGGTGAGAAGACACATGCTGGGTCACACCAAGTCGCACCAAAGAAGACTGTATTTAATTGAAGATTGGGCTTAGAAAAAAAGTGTCAACTAATCGTTGTATCCATTGCTTATCATGTTGTATCCATTGCTTGTGCGGAGTTTCATTACGCACCTTGGCTGAACCGAAGTCTGCCAGCTTCACAGCGCGAACTGATGGTTCCAGCAAAATGTTTTCCTTAACCCACTATGTCACTACGAGATACTACGAACTGGTTTCATGGGATCTATGTCTTCAAGTTTTGAGATATCGGAGGTATGTCGGAGATATCGTTTTTCCTTTGTCTCCTGGTTTTTTCTGCATTCACTCTCACAAATGACTGACTAATTATCAAGGCTTTGATCGAAGTGAAAGCTGGGAACAGAACACCTCTTCCCCGCTGCGTCACGGTAGGTCGGGCAAAAACAACAAAGTCGGAAAGGACGGCAGACGGCAGAGAGTAAAAAGTACAAAGTAAAAAAATTGCAAAAACATTTGTCTACAAGAATGTTTTTGCTCTGCCTTTGCTCTGCCAAGAGACTGGTTTCAAGTCCCTATGTACGATTTGCAAACCATCCAAATGTGCCAGTGCCCGTAGTAGCTGAAAGGAGAAGCAACGCACATCGGGAACACCTCAGGAGAGATTGAATGAGATTGATGTTTATTGGAGATTGGTTCAAAGCAGCAGGTTGGCCCGGTTTGAAATATTTGAGTGCCAGCCAAAACGATGCCACGCGCAAGGCCACTGGATTTCAAAGGAGCTGGTCATCCAAGGCCCAAGCCACGTCACATTGATTTGTTTTTTTTTGTTCCATACCACATGATACCACAAGGGTTGTGTCATTCCTGCGCGAAAATCATCATTAGAATCAGGTGAACCCATGACCCCCACAGCTCCCCGTGGGTGGCGTAAACTCGAGTTCTTGCATATTCCCACCATTCCCAACATTCCCACCATTCGTGCCATGGTCCCATCACGTTCCAGCCAAGACGCTGAGCGGTTGGCCACCTGTGGAGCTGTTGAGGCGAGTCAACAAGCTGAGACTGAGTTGCCCAGATGAAGACATGTCAATATATGTCAATGTACACTGGCACACTGGATACAAGGATGATTACCGAAGGAAGCTTAGAAGCCAAACTTCCGACAATATGGACAAATGGAACAGCAGAGGTGGGAAGAGTCAGAGAAGAGAAGAGAAGAGAAGAGAAGAGAAGAGAGGAGAGGAGAGGAGAGGAGAGGAGAGGAGAAGAAGAGAGAAGATCAGAGAAGAGAAAGAGCCAAAAGAAAGAGCCAAAAGAAAGAGCCAAAAGAAAGAAGATGCAGGTGCGCGAAAAGGTAGGACAGTCGCGAAACACTGTGTTTATCCAATGATGTGTGGCTCCGGAGGGTCGAAAAGTAGGCTCGCTAAAGCGGCGGGCGCGGAGCCATCTGGCCAGATGAGAGATGAAAAATTGCACGCGGTTGTGGTGCGAAGCACATTTGGAAGCCAAAATGCACAAAACACCTCATGTTCGGGCGGCTTTTGGAAGTTGAGATGTCGAAAAAGTGTACGCCGCTGTGGCACGAAGCACGTTTCCAAGTCAAAATGTACAAAAGACACCAGGTCCGGACCACTCTTGGAAGTTGACATGTCGAAAAAGTACACGCCTTTGTGGCGCGAAGCACATGTCCAAGTCAAAATGTGCAGAACACACCAGCTCCGGACCACTTTTGGAAGTTGAGATATCAAAAAATTGCATGCCGTTGCGGCGCGAAGCACATGTCGAAGTCAAAAGTGTAAAAAACTAGCGGGCTCGGAGCACTTTTGGACGTTCGGATGTCGTTTTGCGTGGCAGGCACAAGGGATTCTGCACCTTGCCAAAGTGAGCAAAACGTGACGGTTTTGTAGCAGTTTCAACTACAACCACCACTACACTACGCTGCATTACACTACACTACACTACACTACACTACACTACAACTACAACTACAACTACAACTACATTGCGCTGCAATACCCTACGCTAATTACATTACACTTGTAGACTACACTACCATACACGACACTCCACTGCACACCCAATTACATTACACTACACTACAACTACAACTACAACGACAACTACAACTACATTAATTACACTACATTACACTGCACTACACCACACCACACTACACTACACTAACTACAACTACAGCTACAACTACAACTACGCTACTTTACACTACACTACATTAGAATACACTACATTACACTACCCTACATTACATTACACTACACTCATTACACCACCTAATTGTAATCATTTTCCCCAGGGCCGATTCATTACACTACACTCAGTACAAATGCAATTGCAACTGCGCTACACTAATTACACTACACCAACTACACTACAACTACAACTACAGCTGCACTACGCCACACTACATCCAGCAGTTGTGGGTGAGGTGACCGACCAGGTGACCACTGCAACCATTGCAACCATTCCAAAAAACACAACTCCAACCACCTTTGGGTCCATCAGTGGATTCGCTCTGCCATCCGTGATTCACAACAACCAACCTCTCCTATAGGTTTCCTATTTTTGAAACTTCCGCCACCGCCTTGTGCGGTACTACTGGTATAATTCATAATACTATATATATTGCGGGGATATTGATGTACGTATATTGTAGCGGCGAAAACCCTCCAGACTCTTCATACACGAACTCTGAGCTGCTGCTGCCAAGTCGCCAATTTTTTGATGGAGATTCTGGGGCATGTACTCCAGCACCATGCCTTAGTGTTGAAGATTTGTACTATCGCAATTAATATCATGTGATATCTTGCACGACGTGACCGCAAGGTCATTCCGCGAGTGATTCCATGATTACCAAAAAAACTGTGAAGCCGAACAGCTTCAAAACCCCAATATGCTTCAAAACGCTGTGGGCGGAAGTGACATTGCTTTGGCTTGCTATCAATTCTTGAGACTTGTCAACAAGAGGGACAAGGAGAGGGATAACAAAAGTATGTGGCATCTGGTGCTGGCTATGGCACATAACATCTCGGTATCATTCTCATCCTTTTCCAAGAAACCTTGGTCAGAGGATGTCAAAAGCTTAGTCTTTACAAATATCCCACAAGTCCAAATGGCCACGAGCTAGAGCTTGGCAGGAAATGTGCACCGGCAGAAAAATCAGCTCTCCACCTGCATTGCTCTTGTTGGCATTTCACATCTTTCACTTGTTTGTCTTGTTTGAACTTGTTTGCCAGGTCACTGTCCAAAAGGCCAACAATGCAGGAGTGGCGGATGTTCTCTAGCAAGGTGATCTCTCGGGTTTTGTGATCTTCGAATGGCACTTGCTTCACAGCGACCTGGCAGCCGAAGGCGCCCATGTTATGCATTCTTACTGCATTGCTTACATCCCTTTGCCAGTTTCGGGTGGCCACAACTACTACTCAATGTCTAATATCTGGACTGCTGTCCACCACAGGGCACAAGTTCGCACTGATGGCATCAAGTGAATCCAATCAAGCAAACTCTAACAGCTCTAGCACACCCAAGATTCACCTAAGACCTAAATGATCAAAGCACACTAAGGGACACTCAGCTACACTGACTTGGCCTTGCACATCGCATCGCCATCACGTTCGGATTCCTGAGGAGAATCGAACATCCAATCCATGCTGGGGCTCGGTCTTTGCAGTTCTGGACACAAGTCCAAATGGCATCAATACTAGTCAGTGTTCAAAGATTTCAAACCTTGGTTGTAGAACACCAGCAACCTGTTCAAATGCTGACAGTACTGTTTGGACTCTTTCCATCCTTGGTGGTTATATCTATATACTGTAGATTAGATGGAGACATCACATGACATTAATACATTAGTTTCAATCTCCAGTCAGTGGAATAATTCCACCCCCTGCCTGGTCTTTGTCGCCGCTTTCGTGCAGTCGTTGCGCTAGGAAGACTTTGCCGAAGGTGCCTCAGCCACATTTTGCTTGCTGTAAGGCCAAAGCATCTCTGCCGAAAGCTCTTGACAAATAAATCTCTTGATTTACTGTTTCAAATCATCGCCTACAGGTATTTGTTTACTCAGCTGATAATGCTATATATTTGTCTTGATTCCGTCAAAACTTCTTATGGTTCTTGTACTTACTGTGCTTGAGGCCAAAGGGAAGGGGACGAAAGCTAGTTGGGCAAGGAGAGGTGTGTGTTGAAAGAATATGTGGCACGACCTTGTGAGTGTTATTTTTTGAACTGAAATAAGCTATCATTCGATGCTTCTGACACGCTAACAGCAGCGTATCATGATATTCTAGCTCGCATGCACCATAGTCATTCCACAACCCTCCCCCTGCCATCCTAGCATACCAGCGTCAACATTGCGCTCCTAGTGCTCTACTTGCCAAATATAAAGTGCCCCAACCGAACGCGCTTCGGTTGAGCCACTTTGCAACCGTCTGATTGAACCTCTTTCCCTCGGCCTTTCCTTTCTTGTTCCTGTCCGTGACATATCCTATATATATAATTATGTTTATGATGAATGTCTAAGTGTCTCTATCTGCCTAGCTCATATCGATATAGCTATAGTCTATATGTATAGCTCTATATACATATACATATTTATATATATATATGGAGGTGTCCATAAATAGGGGTACCCAAAATTTTCTGGTTTATAATGGAAAATCCTATTAAAATAGATGATTTAGGGGTACCCCCATTTCAGGAAACCTCCATATGTATATTCGCTATACAAAAAAGAATCTGGTCACTTAGGTGCATACATCATCATACATTCATCGAGCAGGAATTGCTTGGGAATCTTAAGATGCGCATCTTCCATTCCTCGCCAAGACCGGGCCATGTTTTCATGCATTCCTCTCGAGGAAATGGAATGCAAGACTCCAAGTGGTCGTTCTCTCATTTCATTACATTACATGGCATTACATTGCATTACGTTGCATTACATTACATCACACTACATTACACTACATACTACGTTACACTACATTAGATTAGATTAGATTACATTGGGTTAGATTGCGTTAGATAGATTGCATTAGCACAAAATTCCAGTAAATCCAGTGAATGCGGGGATTGTACCAGAAGTAATATTCACGTGTATTCAAGATGCAGTAGTCAACAGATGTAACAATGGCCAGTGACACTAAGCAACAACACCTGTTTTAGCGGGCACCTTGAGCCAAACGTTGTTGGCCAAGTAAATGGTTTGATGACCAAAACCCCGGATTACAGGATTAAGGAAATGAGTTATCATTGTCGATAACTATTTGAATAGTCTATTCCCGTTGTAAAAACCCTGACATTATGTACACTTTACAGTCAAAGGCAACAACAATATAGTGGGCTCCGTTTTGGGACCACTATGTGGTATGAACATGCATACACGGCATAGGGGTTATTCGAGTATTTTCTACTCCCCCCTCTCGATTGACTCCGGCCAGTGGTACGTTCGGCACCGACCTAGTCTTCTGGAGCTTTCTGGTATGGAAGAATGCGTGGAGCCTTCTTCTTGTACTTCTTTCTCACATTGGCCTTGGGTTTCGGAGCATCCTGAGTAGGCACAGGTTTTGACTTGTCCTCAGCATAGGAAGGCTGCAGAGACTCATCAAAATTCTCCTGGATCTTCAAACCAGTGTTCGTGGTCCGAGTGACCACATATCCATTGATTATTCCCAGAAGGTCCAACGCGGGTCCCCACAGTTCACCTGCCAATCCCTTAGTGAAGATATCGGCTTTCTGGTAGCGACTGGCAACTAGTTGCAAGTCCACATCGTCCTTGTCCAGTTCCTCTTTGAGGCTACCTAAGTTTATACGATGTGTTCTCTTCATATGTCGCAAACGCTTGGAATAGCCAGCAGAAACCACCTTTGCTGTGGCTTCGTTATCTTCTCTGATTAACAAGCGCACTGACTTTCTGAATAATACTGAAAACAGCTCTAGCAACGGCAGACCTTCATCAAATAAAGTAGTAGCCATCGCTGCAGCCTCAGCTTCAGTTGTCGATCTGGAGACCGCACCTTGCTTTTTGGACATCCAGGTCAGTGGAAAACTGGTGCTCTTTCCACTTAGCTGTACCCACCCACCAGTTGTGGAATATGTGTGCTCGTCATCACCACAAAAGTCTGCATCGCAGAACAGCTCAACATAGATGTCATTCAAATCATCATCTACATGGCCAGTGAGTAAGTGGTCTTTTGTTTCATTCAAATAACTAATCGCCCTGAAAAGATGGTTGTCACACTCCGTGGTCCACTGTTGCACCTTAGTAGCTAACCAAGTGGTTACTCTCAGCATATCAGGCCGCGACAATCGCGCCAACCACATCAGTTTCATAAGGACCGAGCTGGCTGAACCTGAAAGTTCGCCCTTAGTCGGAGCCTCCTCAAGCACAGTGGTCTTTGAGAGAAATGGTGTGCTAACTCTCTTCAGTTTTGCGTGACCTATCAGTCGAACATAGTCATTGACAATGCTCTCAGCATAGGCTCGCATGTCGAATGCGAATAGTTCTTGATTTCTGAACTCCACTGTTGAATGATGTCTCCCCAAGAACCTACCTAGGTCACCGATGTCATCCAACATGATTCTTTTAGAAAGGTCTGCCCAAAAGGAATCGTGGTATGAACTGTCCCCGCTCAAAACGAAGTCATCCACATAAACAACCAAAGCCAAATGCCCGTAGGAAGGAAACACATATGTGCTTGGGTATTCTGGAATCTTCGTGGCTCCCATGTTTACCAACTCTTGCTCCAGCTTCCTTTCCCAATGTGCTCCAGCTTCTGGATGCCCATACAAGCTGCGAAGCAGCCTGATGACTGGCCTCCGGTACAAAGGCTTTCCATTTGAGTCAAACCAAGTTTCCGGCCAAACTTCTCTGGGCAACCTGACCCAAGTTTCGGCCAATGAGTTCAAAACGCTCTGAAGGTACGCCTTGATGGCGTCTGCTGATGAAATCTTGTGGCCTTTCAACAGACCGTATGCTATGATGGCGTTAGCCGCAGTGATCGAAGCAGGGGACGCGCTCATGGTTTGATATAGCGCGACATTTCCTTTTGCAGTTTTCGCTGCGTCGCCCCTGTAGCATACTCTACCCTTGAGGGTTCTGAACTTTGGTTCTAGCTCAACGTTCTTCTCACTACATATGGCTAGTAGGTCTGCTAGGTGGATAGTCTGGCCATTCTCTATGGCTCGCCTTTTCACCGTCTCTTCCTCCTCAACCGATCCCAAATCCCATGTGCCCATGTCCCCAATACCGTCAAACTCCTTCTTGATCGCGGCTATCGCGTCAGGACGCGAGAGAACCTCTGACCTCGGGAGCTGTCTGGTGACCGCTGCTGGTTGCAGCTCTTCTTCATCATCAGACCTCGGTGGGCATATGGGTACTTCATCTTCAGGGAATTGATCTGGAGCTATGGATGGTTCATATTCAGTTTCAACACCATCCTGTATTGGTCTCGGAGTTGGTCCCACTGATTCGCCACGTCTGGAGAAGATGGCGTCAAACCTTGTTTTGCATTCTTGTGAGTGTCTGTTGTGTCCCATGGAGCACCCTGGACATCCCCTGGTGAAGCCATGTTTCATCAACCTTGACCATGTTATGTAAGCGTGTCTTGGAGGAGGTGGAGGTGCGTCAACAGGAAAAGAATCAATGCACACGTCATATGGCAAAACCCCTTCCACGAAAGATCTATCATAGATGGCTTTCTTGACTTCTTTCTCCTCATCCGTCATTTGCAACATGGCATTTTGTGCAGCTAATGCAAGAGGAAATTCAATGTATTCTGTTGGAGGGAAATAGACCTCCTTCTCATGCATCACACGTGGTTGCCAGTGCAAGTGCCCTCTCTCTCTGACAGACTCATAGTCCAAAATCTTCACATTGCCACGATACCGAAGCCCAGGGGATAGGTGCCAGCCGGCAAACAACCCCGGACGAGTTGTGGGCTCTGCCATGCCGTCCCCTTTGGAACGATAGAAAACCAATGCGCCTAGTGGATAAGAAACGCCATCAAAAGGTTTACCTGTGGCCACTTCCCATCGCGTCTTGCCAAGTTTCTTCTTTCCCTCTTCTGTGTCTCTCTCATCCTCCGTGATCGGAGCCAGAGTGAAGAAGGATCTTGCAGTGGCTGTGTACTCGATGGAAATGGTCCAGAGCCTTCTGTGGAAACCTGCCTGCAGGTGTGATGGCCTGCACATCTCCTTGATGGTCCTGATTTCTCTTTCAATAAAGGCATTGTGTGGCCAGTGATTGGCGGCTGATGGATCAGCCACCCATCCCAGTCTTGATGCAGCATTGGTCAATTCCTGGGCTGTGTCGGAGTGGAATACAACATCTGGGTTACCGTTCAACTTGTTGCCACCAAAATGTTTCAACGCATCATAGTTGCTATCTTCATTGCGTGTTCGTTGAGGGTATGTCAAACACATTCCAGAGTATCTGTCTCGCACTAAGAGGGCGGACTGTTCACCACCAAGCCCCCTAGACTCAACCGCTGGAAAAATGTGGTCAGCCTCAATGATGCTTCCAAACTCCTTTGCAATACTGTACACAACCTCTTCGTCCTCAGGTTCGGGTCTATGTCTATGAGCATATCGTTTGATCATTCGACCTCTTTGGCAATGTGGGCAAAATGGATTCTTCTTGGCGTGCAATGTGATGTGTTCTAATGATGTTGCCTCCCTCTTCAGTCTATCATCCCTGGATTCCCTGTCCTCAGCCTCATCATCGGCAGGTTCATCCAGGCCCTCAGCTGCGGCTGCTGCAAGGGGGTCGACTGAATCGTAAATGAAGACACCACCATCTCGTCCCTCTTCAGGCTCACGCTCCCGGTGTTCAACTGTTTGCTCTATCACTTGTGTGACTGGCATGGCTGGGACATGTCGTGAGATGATATCAGGATACATCGCATGCATTACATACTCACACATCTCCTTGGGGTAGAAACCAGTGAGGCGTGT